AGGGAGAGTGAAACTGAGAGGGAGAGTGAAACTGAGAGGGAGAGTGAAACTGAGAGGGAGAGTGAAACTGAGAGGGAGAGTGAAACTGAGAGGGAGAGTGAAACTGAGAGGGAAAGTGAAACAGAGAGGGAGAGTGAAACAGAGGGAGTGAAACAGAGAGGGAAAGTGAAACAGAGGGAGAGTGAAACAGAGGGAGAGTGAAACTGAGAGGGAGAGTGAAACTGAGAGGAAGAGTGAAACTGAGAGGGAGAGTGAAACTGAGAGGGAGAGTGAAACTGAGAGAGTGAAACTGAGAGGGAGAGTGAAACTGAGAGGGAGAGTGAAACAGAGAAGGAGAGTGAAACAAAGGGAGAGTGAAACAGAGGAGAGTGAAACAGAAGGAGAGTGAAACTGAAAGGGAGAGTGAAACAGAGGGAGACTGAAACAGAGAGGAAGAGTGAAACTGAGAGGGAGAGTGAAACAGAGAGGGAAAGTGAAACAGAGGGAGAGTGAAACAGAGAGGGAAAGTGAAACAGAGGGAGAGTGAAACAGAGAGGGAAAGTGAAACAGAGGGAAAGTGAAACAGAGAGGGAGAGTGAAACAAAGAAGGAGAGTGAAACAGAGAGGGATAGTGAAACAGAGAGGGAGAGTGAAACAGAGAGGGAGAGTGAAATACAGAGGGAGAGTGAAACAGAGAGGGAGAGTGAAACAGAGAGGGAGAGTGAAACAGAGGGAGTGAAACAGAAAGGGAGACTGAAACAGAGAGGGAGAGTGAAACTGAGAGGGAGAGTGAAACAGAGGTAGTGAAACAGAGAGGGAGACTGAAACAGAGAGGGAGAGTGAAACAGAGGTAGTGAAACAGAGAGGGAGACTGAAACAGAGAGGGAGAGTGAAACTGAGAGGGAGAGTGAAACAGAGAGGGAGAGTGAAACAGAGAGGGAGAGTGAAACAGAGAGGAAGACTGAAACAGAGAGGGAGAGTGAAACAGAGGGAGTGAAACAGAGGGAGTGAAACAGAGAGGGCGAGTGAAACAGAGAGGGCGAGTGAAACAGAGAGGGAGAGTGAAACAGAGAGGGAGAGTGAAACAGAGAGGGAGAGTGAAACAGAGGCAGAGTGAAGCAGAGGCAGAGTGAAACAGAGGGAGAGTGAAACAGAGGCAGAGTGAAACAGAGGCAGAGTGAAACAGAGGCAGAGTGAAACAGAGGCAGAGTGAAACAGAGGCAGAGTGAAACAGAGGCAGAGTGAAACAGAGGGAGAGTGAAACAGAGGGAGAGTGAAACAGAGGCAGAGTGAAACAGAGCCAGAGTGAAACAGAGGGAGAGTGAAACAGAGGCAGAGTGAAACAGAGGCAGAGTGAAACAGAGG